GCTTCTACTTAGGGTTCTACCAGGCGCCTAGAAATTCAGAATTCCATGACGTTTTCGGGGCTTCGGGTGTCAATGTGAATGATCGGCAAGGTAGCTGTATTGACCCCTTAGTTGGATTCGCTTTCGGTTTCAGTTGTCATCAGCACACCAGATACGGGAGATACATGGAACTTGCGAAACAGTACGTCCACACCAGCTGGCGTTTCTCCCTTGCTGCTGTGAATCTGGATTCTCCGCAATCTCTCTCACCACCTGGAGCGACTTACAGGATCAGAGACTCAGTCAATGGGGTGATCAACACCTCAAGAACGGCTGCAAGTACATACGCAAGTAAGCCGCTAACTAAGTCCTCTTCTCTGGACAGGGCTCTCATTTGGAAGCAGAAGAACCCTGTTTTCATGTTTTTTTAGCAATCAAGGCTTCGGGTTCTCGAGATTGGGGTACTGGCGTTGCCACTTACAAAACGATTGAGTGGTTATAGCTGTTATTTTATAGCGGCTCCCCGCAACTTGCAACCTCGACCCCATGTAAGTAACATATCAATGTTCAGCCATAAAGAACTCTAGCAATACAATACCCGGAATCAACTTCGCTTTATCGAACCCTAAACCCTAAACCCCTAAACCCTAAACCCCTAAACATTGAAACCCATGTCGTCAATCCCGTCGGGCTGGTTTGGGGGCTTTTTGGCACCGAGGCCGCACCTGCTTTGGCATCATCGTGTCCAGGATGCTATGGACGCGGCTCCTGAGCTCAGACGGATGGAGCAAGGGTTTAGGGTTTAGGGTTTAGGGTGAAGCCTAAAGACAAGCCCTTAAACCCTAAGCCCTGAACCCTACCAGAAGGGACAGTCCTGGGGCCTGCGTTTTATGGTCTAGATGTTTTTATTTTGCTACTGAGCTCTCAAGACCTACATACCAAAAGAGAGCACCTCTATCTCCAACAAAGCCACACTTCTGACTGCCGTTGCTGGAGGTCTCCCATTGTCTATTGAGGTTCGGCGCAGCAGGGGCCAGGACAACTGGCCCCTTGTGGGACTGAGGATAGGAAACCTTAAAGGCAAATGTTGACGGGTGTTCAGGTGAGATTAAGTAAGGCTGGAACATGCTGGAACATTGAAATTAGGCTTCGCAAGCTGGATACGCACGGTACATTTGCATTTCTAGCGTGCTTTTTCGTGTCTCGTGGCTTTCGCAAAAGTAAGTACATAGAGTGCTTCAGACTGATCCGCATTTTGCTGTTGACTCTGATGTTTGTCCGCCTTAGCCTCAGAGGAAAGAAGCTAACGGCGAAAAGTGCACATTTCTACTCAGGTAGCGTGCAACCTGTGCTACCATGCACATCCATTTTGCCACCTCTTGCCACTTGCAAATCTGCTCTAGGGTGATTAGCCGAGCGCATCCTTCTGCTCATCTGCATCATGGCAGGACATCAAGTTGCAGTTCGGGGTTACTATACATACTATGAGGGTATATTGTGTGTACCACTACAGATACCCCGGTGAGAGTGCTGTACTCAAGTTGCAGACACCAGCAACCAGGACAGGAATCCTTCGTCATCGTCATCCACATCCTCCTCGCTCTCGCTGCCGTCTTCGATGTGCCGCTGAAGATCCATGTCATCACGCGCCCACATCCGGCTTTGGCACGCTCCATACGTGGAGGTCTGAGTGTTATGCACGGATCTTCCCGGGTAGCTTTGGGTGACAAGCTCAGGCGCTACCGTCAGAGTTCCCGGTCTGTGATGGCACATCCGCCCGGTGGCAGCCTGGTCTTTCCTGGCACGAGCATCAACCAACAGTCGTGCAACCGCTGCCTGGCCGAACTGAGATGCTACCCGAAGAGCTTCTTGAAGCGCCCCACTGTCGACTCTGGCAGCAAGAAAGCTATTTCATTTCAGCCCTTCCATTCCGAGATGCAATAAGCAATGGTGTCAAGCCGTTTTTGGCACGCAGGTCCAGTTTGGCACCTACTTCCAAAAGCAGGCGAGCCGTCTCAACACAACGGTATTCGCGCGCGAGCATTGATGCTGTGATGCCATGACCGTGTGGGTGGGTGGATGGGGCGGTGTGGGTGGGGTGGGTTGGCAACGATCGGAGGTGTCGGTCAGTTGTGGGTGTGCCCCAGTCAGCCCCAGCCTCTAGCATGAAACCAATGAGGCCATTATGGCATAGAGCTGCTGCACAATGCAAGGGCGTTCTTCCATCTGGGTCGGTCAAGCCGTCAAGCTAGAGCTGGCACCAGCTCCTAGCAAAAGCCGTGTGCAATTTGCACGTGGTTGTTGATAGTAGCATGGTGAGGAGCCTTCACACCTTGGTTGTCAGACAAGTCCGTGTTGGCCCTGGCTTCCAGAAGTAAGCTCACGATGTCAACGTGGCCCCTGTTGGCGGCAGAAGGAGCTGCACCTCAATGGCTGGTGGAATCCATGTTCGCCCTTGCTTGCAGCAGCAAGTTCGCGATGTCAACAAGCAGCAATCTGCAGAGAAGTGGGGCAGTGGGGGACAGACAGTTCCGTGTGGGGCCTAGCTTTCAGCCGCAAGTTCGCGATGTCAACATGGCCCTGGAGGGCAGACGTCCACTTGCGGCAGACTTATGAAGGTTCATGAGCCCACATGCGGCCGGATGCAAGAAGTGCACCGCACGCTCACATGCTACTACGAAGTGTCGCGTGCACACGTCTGAAGCTGTGCGGCTGAACTCACATCCTACACCCACCAAGCCGCGCCATTCAGCCTATCCCTCACACCTTGCATGGGCGGCTACTGAACTTGGCTTTCTGCGAACATATCTACTTGCATTATTTGCGCATGTCTCCTCTCGAAGCCACCTCTCCATCCCCATAAGCTCAGCAATCAGCAGGGAACCAACATCAGAGCTCGCACACCCTGGGTGCTGTGGCTTGCTGCCGGGGCGCATGACCCTCTCTACAGCACAGCCAGCAGCATGCTGCGCTCGGAACAGCTTCTCCTCCTGTGGCGACCAGACCGTGACAAAGGTCCACATGGGTGGTTGTCAAAATGATGGTCCCTTTTGGGACTTTTGGGGTACCCTAAATATTAGGTGCCGTATTATAATAAGGACCCAAAAAGGGACCATAATTTTGACAACCACCCACAGGAACCAGATTGCAGAACAGAGACCCATGCGCGAACAGAAATCATCGTCGCAAGCGGCATCCTACGGCCCAAGTCAAACTCGCAGTGCCCGGCCTGGTAGGAGTAGAACTGCCGCAGAAGGTTGAAACAGAAGAAGTACCAAAGGTCCTGGTCGCAGGAAGGAGCAATGCCACAGGTGCATCGTCGAATAGGCTAGAAAGCTGAGGTTGTAGAGTATAGAATCAGAAGCAGCGACTGTACAGGTTTATTGACAAAGCAGATAAAGGCACCAGGATAAAGTGCTATGCTTAGGCATCCCCTCAACCCTTCACTCCCCCCCGCCCACCAGCCCCCATACTCCTCGGATCCAGAATCCATTACACTCACTGTACGCCCTAAACCCTGAACCCTAAACCATATAAGCCTTGCACCCAGAATTCACTGTTCATAGCCGGCTCCGAGCACCGGCTGACGTGAAGCTATCAAAACTCTCGGATCAAGAAAGTCCCAAAATCATGTAGGGAATTATTCAGGGCCCGATATCAGAGGCTTTGCATCTGCGGGCTTACAAGATAGGGGGCGTTTGTTTTTTTTTTTGGGGGGGGAGGTAAAATATACAGTACAGTTATAATGAAGCGTAGGCTCGATCGGACAGAGTGCGCCAGACCTTGTAGATTGTCGAGAAATGGTAAAAAGAGGCCTCAATGCTGAGAGTTGGGTTTCGGGATCCAGTATTAACTGATGGCAATATGACGGAATTGCGATCTCATGCCCCTTGAAGGGCGAGTCATTGAGTGAGGTTGCCCCTGGGCCCTTCTGCATCACTCCACAACTGAGGCCGCCGCGCCATAGGTGGGAAGAAGATAGAGCCTCACGCGGGGTTTCCGATTATAGGGGGCCCGAATATGGTACCCTAAATCGTAGGATCCTCAAACCCTAAGCCTTAAACCCTAAACCCGAAATTCTAAA